GGTGAAGTGTCTTGCCCATGGACACAACGACCGAGACTGTCCGAGCCAGGGCTCGAACTGGCAACCTTCCGATTACAAGACAACTCTTGAGCCACGATTGCCCCAGTACAATAACCTCAGTTTGATCTGAATTAAATGGTAAATGGTCTGTATTTGTAAAGCGCTTTACTTGGTCCTAAGGACCCCAAAGCGCTTTACACTATACACAATCATCCACACATTCACACACTGAATTAAGAAGCAGAAAGTTAGCGGTACATAGCTGATTAATAGAGATAGGTTGATCATATTTAAGATCGAAGCATTAATTAATGGCAGGACTTCTTTGAGCAGTTTTGTAGGAATGGGGTCTAAAAGACACGTTGATGGTTTGGAGGAAGTAATTATTGAAGTTAACATGACTATAGGGGTTTGAAAACATGAGAATATCATCCAAGTAGACAAAGATGAAGCAATTAAGGAAGTCCCAAAGCACATTATTTACCAACGCCTGGAAGACAACCAGAGCATTGGTAAGTCCACGTGGTGGGACAGGGTAGATGCCCCAGGTGAGTATAGAAGGTAGTCTTCCACTCGTCGCAATGGGATCGTAGATGTTTCGCAAAGATTGTGGCTCTTTGCAGAAGAAGTTAAAAGGGAGAAGATAACAGATGTAAAGGTTGTTTGTTTTTAACAGTTCAAACCTCTAAAGTTAATGCAAGAAATCCAGCTCCCAGGGAATAGGACGAGAGTGGGATGATGTCAGCAGCTAATGAATGGTGGGTGTGTTTTTCCATTGGCTCGTGTTCTGATTTGGTGAGACTGTATAGGCAGCTTAGGGGCAGAGATCGGGCACCAGGTAAGGATGTCAATAACACAATTGTATGGTTGCTGGGAGGCAGCGTGAGCCAATCGTGATGTTCAGTCAGGATGGAAGACAAATGTGGACCCTCTAAACCGATTTGTAAGACAACAGCTTCTCCTGGAGGAAACATAGACTGCAGACCAAAGTCATCACAACTCTTGCAGCCAAATGCAGGACACTGAAGTAAAAGTTTAACAGGTACAGAAGAAAAACACGTAATATAAGTAATACAAAGAAGTATTTTCTGAATGGAGTTGGCAGAGGGACAGGCAGATAATTCACTCAGATGAAAATTCAGGTGGATTTCCTGAATTATCCATGGATGTCCTGTTAACTTGGACTAAGAGGACATCCAAGTTAGTCCAGTGTAGGCAAAACATAACAGAGTAACCCTTGGTACATGTGGAAGCCACAGTAAGTACAATGAGCTGGCATCGACTGAGGGATTTCTACAGCCTAAGTAGCAGGAAGGGAATGACCAGCTGCACACAGCTGTGTTATTATAAGAGGAAGAGAGGGAGACAGACAATGATGCGTTCACACAGCTGGACTCCCAGATGGTGGTAGAAATGATGCCATCCTTTTTGGGCAGATAGTCATAACGTGTGTGAGATGGAGGAACACGATCCTTTATTTTTCTGGTTGATAAATATGAATGACATGACATTTAAATTCCAAAGTGTGTATAGTATTTGACCATGTGTTATCAACATTTTTGTAAACAATCATGAATATCGAGTTATGGAATATAGAAGATGTTTGACTACACATCGGTTGAAACCTAACGTGTGTGTGCTGGCAGCAGAGTCATTATTAAAGGATCACACATAAACATAGAGTAACACACAAACTACCCTTAATTCAAGTACACAGAGAATCTCTGTATTAATCATGCAGACAGTACTGTGAAAGAACAGGATTTGGGAAGATGGGATATGTCCCAGAGGGATGGAGGAACAGACTTTAATCACATGATGAATATTGAGTATCACACTGCTGGCTGAGAGTGAGGTTTGCCAGTTATGCTCGTGTTATAACAGCAGTGACTAAACATGCACTCTGGTGTCTGAGGCTGGTCCTGCCACCTTCATCAGCTCAGCGATGGGTCTGGATTCGTCTCATTCTCAGCAGCTCCTTTGTAGACACTCACAGCTTTAATCCATTATAGATCTGCATCGCAAAGTCGGCTGCAGCCAAAGTAGTCTCACATAAGCCTCGTTGCTGGATTCTACAGCTGGGATTGGATCAAAGCTTTTTTAGTCTAAACTGGTTACCTAAATGATTTAGAAGAGAAAAAATACATGAAAGGTAAAAATGTTTCATACATTATATGTGGGATGATTATTTATTTTTGCTTCAAAGGTGCTAACATAATATCCAATGCCCTCATGTATGCCATCATGTGTAGTTTCACGTGAAGCCAAAGACACTCTGGAGATCAAAGTGTGAATAAAAGGCTACAAACCAAAATGACGTGTGGCTAAGTTTGATGCAAGCTTGTAATAGCCGGCTTTGTTGTTCCCTTGGTTAACTTAAACGAACATCATTGTTTTTATTTTATTTATTTCAAAATAAGCCAGAGAGTGTTGGTCCTGTTTACAGGTGACCTCAGTGACTGCATAGAGCCTGCCAGGGTTCACAGTAACAGTCCTAGGTTGATTCAAAAAGGAGGCTGTTTAATGGAGAAAGCGAGTCATGCTGCAAAGATAAATGAATGCTTTGTTTGTGCGTATTAATCCGTCCTCGTGTCACATCTGCAGACCGTAAAGTAGCAGAGTCCACGCCGACCTTCCTCTCACCATCAGGAAGTGAGAGCTCCAAAATGGTGCTGCGAGATGAGCAGCTGCTGCTAGAGTGTATCGCTGCTGGACTGTGAGTGCACTGTCACACACACACGTACTGCGTAATGATAAGATTAATACTGCCATTTGTTTGAAAAGTGGCACATGAAGCTGAACTTTGAGGTCTTGTCTTTCCTACCGTTGCTTTCTCGTCCAGTCCAACACCCATCATCAAGTGGTTTAAGAAAGGTGGGGAGCTGCCAGGGCAGAAGGTCAAGTTTGAGAACTTCAACAAGACCCTGAAGATTGTTAGTGTGTCAGAGGAGGACGCTGGCGAGTATGTATGCATGGCCAACAACCATTTAGGCACCATACGCCACTCCATCTTTGTTCAAGTTAAAGGTGAGTAGGCCTATTGGCTCTGTGTTTCTTGAATGTATAACTGGTGCTAACATGTTGGCCTTGTGCCCAACAGCGGCTCCTTACTGGTTACACAAGCCATCAGACCAGGTGCTAGCCCCAGAAGAGAATGGACGCCTGGTATGCCGGGCCAATGGCAACCCTAAACCTCGCATTGAGTGGCTTGTCAATGGGCAGCCTATAGAGAGTATGGTTCTTTTTAATTATTGTTACAGAACATCAGCCTTGTTTTTGATGCACAATTGTAATGTACTCACTAAAAATGCTGCATAAACATCAGTATATACGACAGCTACCAACAGTCTTTTCTTTGTCTTCCTGTCGGGATCATGTAACCCTCCTCCGCCCGACTGCAGGCTCTCCCACCAACCCAAACAGACAGGTGCTCGGAGACACCATCATGTTTCACTCTGTGCAGATTGGAAGCAGCGCCGTGTACCAGTGTAACGCCTCCAATGAGCATGGCTATTTGTTAGCCAACGCCTTTGTCAACGTTCTTGGTGAGACACAGAAGTGGGAGCTTGATTTCAAAAGGGAAACATAGCAGTGAGCCTATTAGCTCTGCACATCCAGAGTGTGCTGTAGCTCACTGGCTTCAGGGCTGGTTTTAAACCTTATCCAGAAGTGACCATAGTGGTTACACTGCCAGGTAAACGTTTGGACTAGTTTTTGTTCTTTATAGATTTTAATCACCACTTTATCATCAAAGTCCTTGTGACTGGAGCAGGCAGCACTTTGTGCAGGAGGACAGATGATGACCAGTGTGGTGATATGTTATTGCTGACCGTGTTGGTGAGCAGGCTGCTGACCTTTGTTCATGTAAACTCATGTTTTTACTATGAGATCCATGAAACACACACACACACACA